CTTTGTCGCAGAATAGAGGCCTGACTTTGAAATGTTTTTTTTAATCGTAGAATTTCCTGTTGTGTTCATGGGCAAATTTACCAGAATTTCCTTAAATCTAAAACTATGAGTTATCCTTTTTATAACACTATACTTACAACTACGTGCTGAACAACTATTTGTTGAAATTAACGTAATTACAATTTATAGGTGCTTTCTGGCCGACGCCCCACGAAGTACTTGGCATTTATCAGGTCGTTTGAAAGGTTCGAGTCCAGAAAGAGCAGGAGCGCAAGCATTACGGTAACGCATTTAGCTGTTGCGGTGCGGGTCTACTGCTCGTTTGTCGATCCAGGACAGAATGGGAGGTGGGGGAACTGACAGGAAACGCAATGCCGACGCCCCACAACGTACTAGGCATTTGTCAGGTCGTTTTCTTGGTTCGAGTCTTTGCGGTTTCCCTTGACATATTTGGGCGGTGGACGATCTTTAGTTTCTCTGGCCGACGCCCCACAACGTATTAGGCTAGTTGGTCAGGTCGTTTGCTTGGTTCGAGTCCAGAGAAATAGGAGACGGTTGTGAAGCCCAAAAATGATCGGTCAAGCAACCTGTTTTCCGACGACTGGTGGGAGGGGGCACAAAGGTTGATGGAGCTCGAAATGCAGCGTGGTATGAGCGCCCAGATAGAAGCGCTGAAAGCACAAATTACCGAATTGAAGTCTTCGACACCCAGGAGACCCGAACAGAAGGGGCTGCCCTTGCCGCCCCGAACTGTTCCGAATCCAACAGACAGCTTATTGAGATATCAAGAGACTCCTCCTCTGGAAACGGTAACGCAGGACATGCTCCGATGCTCAGATGCACCGGCTAAGAACACCCAGGCGGGTTGGTACTCATTGACCCAGGAAATGAGACGGGGATTTTCCACTACCGGAAGTGACCATATGAAAGTGAAGGAATTAATGGAACGCAAGCAAGGGCCGCACGAAACCTCTAGCGATTGTCTCGGATATGCACAACTTGCATTTCAAGCTTAAGCACAAAATCGCTGAAGATGAATTCGTCGAGCTGTTGAAGGACAATATGAACTCCCAGATGGGGGAATTGCTGTTAACATCCCCAATAAACTCATTAGCGGAGCTCAAAAGAGAGGGACTCCGAGTTGATCGCTGGTTGAGAAACACAGGAAAAAACATGCGCAGCCGATCGGCGATCAACGAAATAGAGGAAATCCAGACACTGGAGGAATTGCCGGACGCGGTCACGGTGGAAGAATTTAACCGGCAGCGGAAAGACACACGAGGGCGTTATGAGGATGGACAAGGATGCCGAGGCCCATTACACGCGCTGGCGTGTTATAAGTGTGGAAAAGGAGCAGACTTCTACAGGAAGCATCCTTCGAACGACGAATCCTGCCCGATCAAATTCCACGATGCCACGTGCAGGTTCTGCGAGAAAGTCGGGACGGATGCAGATGCTAACCCAGCGGTGGGCAGATTTCGCTTACATCTTTAAGTAGTATTTGTAAATTTACTTTATTAAATTTTACAGCTGGCCTACGGAGGTGTACATTTGGTGGCGCTTTTGGGTTAGGCATATCGTCGCTGTATTGCTTATACCTGTTAGCTCAAGTGAATAGTTCAAACTCATGTCACAAACTCCTGTAGATGGCTAAGGTTTTAGCAGGAAAGCATAAAAAATACAAGGTCTTTGTACAGATTTGATGCGCTTAACCGTGTAGATGAACTTTTGTGTTGGGGCGGTGCGGCTTGATCGTTGAAATAATTGAAGCCCCAAGATTGAGTGGTACCCAAAAAACACGGGAGTATTTTGGGGTTTTTACGCGACGTGCGTAGATGTTTATTGTATCACTTTGAAACATGAACTGCTTAAGCCTAACTTAACTTAAGCGCTCCAGAGCAGAGCGGAGACTTAGGGGAGAGATGGCGAGATATAGAAATCTGGATAAAACTGCCGCTCGACACTGTCTCCTGAAATTAAACGCCCTTTTGGCGTGAACATTCTCCCCCCCCCCTTGCGAGGACACCCGTAGCAAGAACCTCAGGATAGTAGGCTCAGGAATATGTTGGAAGTGTAGATCGGTCGTCCGTATGTAGGAGAGTGTGGTGGGCCTTTCCTGACTTGTGGCAGTGATGACCACTGCGGCAGGAGTCCTTGGAATGATTGTGAGCCAAGCAATTGGAGCAGTACTTCTGGATGTGTACTTCCTGAAGCCGATTCTGGGGGCTTAGCCGTAGAAAGTGGTGGCACTTCCGTAGAGGATGGACCTTTTGGCAGACTCGGCATTGGTAGGATTTAATACCTCGAGTACGTCTGCCATCCAAGGCGGGGTATGGAACCCAATATTCGGATGGAGTATTCTTAGGAGGAACTTTTTGTACGGAAACTTGCGTTGAATAGGACGAAATGATGTGTGGAACTGAGGCGGATACTGGCCTTGGAGGGTCGGATGGAATCGTCGGAGTAGTAGGACCGCTGTTTCGATGCAGCAATGTGTGATGCCGATCTTGGCAAGTGAGACAGTTGTGAGCGCTTGTGCAATCCCGGAATTGATGGCTACTTGCAAAGCAATTGGAGCACAACTGCTTCCTTTGGATATAGGCTAAGCGATCTTCTACCGTCATCTGTAGGAAGCGTGGACATATACGCACGGGGTGGTTCTTCTTCGAACACAGATCGCAGCCTTTGGTTATCGGAACTAACCTTGTGTTGAAGGAATTTATTTTTGGAAATTCTGCCTCTCGATTTGTGTCTTTGGACTGGACGTGGTGGAAATTGGCAAATCGGAAGCTATCGACGGCCTCAAGAGTTAGATGGCGCTCCGTCAAATATGAATCAAGCTCAAGCCACGTAGGAATTTCGGCTTTATTTTGGATGGATTGCTCCCATAATGAGAGAGTGAGCTTTGGTAGTTTTGTCGAGCACATATAAACCAGGATAGGGTCCCCATTCTCAATATTAACACCGGAAAATTTTAAGGAAGTTAAGCAACCTTGAAAAGTGCGTTGAAGTTCCTTTAAGGCTGCTCCCGACTCCTGTGCTATGGATTGCACATTGAAAAGTGTTTTCAGGTGACTGTTTACCTGCAATCGCTTATTTTCGAAACGCTCAGTTAGGTTATTCCAGGCTGAGCGAAAGCCATCATTGGTGAGTGGGGATCTTGAAACTATGGAATGAGCTTCGCCACTTGTTTTTGAATTTAAGTGGAATAATTTTTCAATGGGCGTTAGACTCGGATTGTCAATGTATATTGCCGTGAAAAGGTCCCGGAAAGTCGGCCAGCGAAGATAATCGCCAGAGAAAACCTCTGTGTCGATAGGAGGGAGCCGACAGCCATAAGACGTGAAATTTTGGGACGGAGTTACTGGAGCTTGAGGTATTTGGGAGGAGCCCTTTTGGATTTGTTCCATCAGCTGCGCGGCAAATATTTCGTAAGTGGAGTACGTTTGGTAATACTTGGACTTTAGTATGGATTTTGTGTCTGCGGCGCTCTCGCCTGCAGCTATAATGCAGTCGGAGCATATGTCGTATGCTTTACCGTTTGCCACAAGGAATTGAGGTGATCGCGACGGATTTTTCAGGCGGATAACGTTGGTGTAGGAGCACCTGGAGCGTTCACAGTGGCCTCAAAGTGGATCAGACAGTCAGCTGTGGCCATAAATCGGGTTAAAGCGGATTTTACTGATGTTGCCATGACGTTAAAAAATTTAGAATTTTAATTCTGATGTAAGGAAACGGATTGGAATCAAATTGGAATTTAGGAACCAATTAAGATTGTAAATATATACGGTCACACTGTCGGATAGGCAATAAATATTTATTATATCGGATGGTCGGACTTATGTATGGAATTACGGTCTTTAATATTGTTTGTTTGAAAGGAACACTTTTTGTGAGCTCTTGACCCACTGTGCACTGGCGATATACGGTATACGTATGTATGTACACTGTACGTACGTATATATTTGGGGTGCGAATAGCAGAATAACGTTGCGGGAATGGGAAAGACTTCGCTTATGTTTGTATGTCGGTGCGTTTGTTTGTCACCTGCACAACTAAATTGCAAACGATTTGCTGGAGTAAATTTGTGGATATTGTCACTTTGTTTTAGAAACAGTTTAGCCGTATTTGTAGGTCGAGAAAAGTAGTTGGAGTGGACTGTATTAGAAAAAAGTAGTTCGAGTGGACTGTATTAGATTGTTTTTGTAAATATACACATGCAGCTGGAACACAGTAAAAAATAAAGAGTGCAAATCTTAAGGACAATCTTTATGATCGGGAATTTTTTACTGTGGCTGAGTTATATTTTACACACAATTGGAATTGAAAATATATTTGAGAAATATTTTTGTTGAATAGTAGCACTGAAATATCTTCTGGAATTGTTTCAAGTGTACAATTGTGGGCAAAGGAAACTGGAATATTGTCGGGCACAAGTAACGGAATCGAAATACATATATTAAATGCCGTTGCGTCGGATTAATCACTTTTGGATTTAGACAATATATCATACAGAAAGTTAGTCGAAATAGGGTTCGAAAAACTGGCTGTATGACCGGCAATTATAGTAAGCGGAACTTATCTGGAGTGTTTCAAGCCTGCTGGGACAAAATCAAAGGAAACTCCAGGAGAGGAAAGTCCAAAGATTTCGAAATCCGGCTCGAAGGACCAAAATGTTGGGGCGGTGCGGCTTGATCGTTGAAATAATTGAAGCCCCAAGATTGAGTGGTACCCAAAAAACACGGGAGTATTTTGGGGTTTTTACGCGACGTGCGTAGATGTTTATTGTATCACTTTGAAACATGAACTGCTTAAGCCTAACTTAACTTAAGCGCTCCAGAGCAGAGCGGAGACTTAGGGGAGAGATGGCGAGATATAGAAATCTGGATAAAACTGCCGCTCGACACTGTCTCCTGAAATTAAACGCCCTTTTGGCGTGAACATTTTGTTTTACATTATTTAAAGTTGTTTGCATAAAACTTGTTTTATTGCATATAAAGCCACCCGTTTGAACAACACTGCTTTATTAAGAACGCCTTAACAGTCCAAGTTTTCAGTATCGGCTCCTATCATGATTGCCTTGCTGCCCCTAGTCATCATGTTATTAACCGGAGCCTCACAACTAGTATCTTGTGTGGAGCACGTCTGGCAGTGGCAGTTCACTGCCTCCGTATACTTGCGGTAGTTGCTAACGCTCTTTTCCGCTTTAGGGTGACAGTTTTTCAGGATTGCTATCACTGGCTGCCGCTTTGCGTGGTCGCAGACCGGGTGGAACGAAAGTTAATAAGGGAACTTCCAATCGGAGATCTCGCTGGAGTCGCACCGTCCCCAGCACGACCATACGCTCACATAGTTCCAGCACTCATGTCCCAGAATATCGGACTGCGTTACTTTATACGTATATACCCGACGATGACAGCCCAATGGCGCCACAGTAAGCTCGCTGTTAATGGGCTCAAACTCCATCAACTTCGAAGAAGTAACACGCACCGTAGAAGTTCCTATGGAGAGAGCGAGGATCCTATAAAGAAATAAGAGCGCAGCTAGATTAATATCTAGCAATCTAAGGCAGTCTTACAAAGCAGCACAGCCAACCATCATGGTGTGCGCTGTGATTCTCCTTATCTACTTATATCGCCTATTTATATACACACCTTACAAACTAAGGTGTACATTGAGCCTGCGCTGCCAGCAGTGCCAGGATACAGCCCCTGCACCTATAATAAGTCCAAAAATAGATTTTTTGGCGTAAGGGTTTCATTTTTAGTCTACTATTCGTTGGCTATGGGCAGAGAGGTACTGGATTCTGATTTAAATAAAAATAAAATCTGCCGTTTTGCTGAATTAAGGATTTCCTTCCCTAACACTTACATTTTTTGATGAACGCGTGTGGCTCCATTCATCAGCTCTCCTTTGCAACAGAGGCAATTGATTTTTAACTTTTTAAACGCAGCCATGTCCTGAACAAACGACGGATTTTCTTAGGAATCTTTGTTCTGGTAGCGTTTTTAATGCAGTTTTCTTCCGTTTTGAGCGGTAGTAGCGACAAAATTTAAAAACAAGGTATCAATATAATCAAAAGGATACATCCAAAAAAATAAAATATTTTAAAGAAATAATTACTTAAGACAAAAACAAGGAAATCGCTATAGTGGACTACCTCGACTATCAGACACCAGTTACTCAACTGAAGGGACCAAAGGGAAATGGAGATATGCAAGCAGCAAAGCTAGATTGAAATGCGCTACCTACCCGCAATCTCAATCTATGGTTATGTGGGCGGTAGACAGCCTTAAGCGCTATGGGCGTGGCAAACTTTTTTTTGGGTCAATCGAAAGGTTTTGACGAGACCAATACATTTCAGTTAAAATTGTTTATCTAGCATCAAAATTGTGGGCATATTCGCCTAACAAACTTGCGCTGCGTACAGTCCTACGGAATCTAAATCTGAAATCCCAATTCTCTATCTTTGATAGTTTCTGAGATATCCGAGTTCATATTAACGTTTTTTTGGTGTTTGTGGGCGTGGCATTTTTTTTTTCGTCAAGCGATAAGTATTGATGAGAACAATACATTTCAGTTAAAATTTTTATTCTAGCATCAAAACTGTAGAGCCCACAGTTTTGGGCGGTTTGTGGGCGTTAAAGTGGGACCAGGAATCTCAGGAATCTGCATGCCTAATCCCAGTATTGTAGCTCTTATAGTTTTCGAGATCTCAGCGTTCATACGGACAGACGGACATGGCTAGACCGACTCGGCTAGTGATCCTGATCAAGAATATATATACTTTAGGGGTCGGAAAAGCTTCCTTCTGCCTGTTACATATTTTCCGACGAATCTATTATACCCATTTACTCTACGAGTAACGGGTATAAAAAGCTACTGCTTACTACAACAAGCGAACAAAATATTCGTATGAATTAACTTAATACCCATTTCAAATTATGTTTTTAAATTTTGAGTTGTGTTAATGCTAAGACACCAATATTGGTGATTGGTGACTTAAAATTACAGCTTAAAATTGTAATTGTGTATAGCTTCGGTGTTTTTTAACATATAGCCTCCTACGCTTGGAAATAACATTTATTAATTAGTTCTGAATTTCGAATTTAATTTTATTAAAATCGGACGACTATATCATATAGCTGCCATGGGAACGATCGGAATATTGGTGTGAAAATAATATGAAACAAATTATAGCTTCGGTGTTTTTTAACATATATCCTCATAAGCTTGGAAATAACATTTTTTAATTAGCTTTGAATTTCGAATTAAACTTTATCAAAATCGGACGACTATATTATATAGCTGCCATTGGAACGATCGAAAAATTGGTGGGAAAATAATATGAAACAAATTATAGCTTCGGTTTTTTTGAACATATAACCTCCTACGCTTGGAAATAACATTTTTTAATTAGTTCTGAATTTCGAATTTAATTTTATCAAAATAGCTTCGTTGTTTTTAGACATATTATGTTATACCATTGGGAATATCATGTTTTGTATTTATAAATTTAATAATTATATAAACTTCGGCTTGCCGAAGTTAACTTCCTTTCTTGTTTAAAAATATTTTAAAGGAGTTAAGAAATTAATTAATTCAACATATTTTTTCCACAGTTACACGCCAAGTAATGTCTACAGCTAGCTTGCCCGTAAATAGATTAATATAATCGTACAGCTTCACGCTAGTGGGTTTCGCACTCTCTGTTGAGATGACAGTTTAATCTTAGTCCTTATTTCGGAAATAATTCGAAGACGCTTGTTAAGTATAAATTGGTGCCAGTTCACTCTCGACACCCTAAGCCATCGGACGAGTTCTTCCGCGTATCATTAAAGTACCGCAGCATCCCAACGCATAAAAACAAACGCAAAGATTGCCCCCGCTTCCCGATCAACGCAACTAACAATTTTGGCAGCTTTAAAGAAGCCTTAAAGTTTGTTGACCTCATCATGCCCGACCCTCCGGACATCTGGAGAAGGCACCCGCCAGACGGAGTATTCCTAATAGCGACTAGGACAGATGACGACTCCAAGTCTCTAGCTGAAGTCTCACCATTCATCATCAAAAAAACAATAGACAATACAGTCCAAGGAGAAGTCACAAGTTGTAAAAAAACCAAAGACGGAAAACTTCTAATTCTAACCAAAAACCTATTACAAGCCGAAAAACTAAAGAATCTCTTCAGTCTACCTTCAAATACTCCCTACATCACTATCCCAATTAAAATAACAGAACACCGAAGCCTTAATTGCACTAAAGGAGTTATTTACTCAAACGATCTACGAGGAATTGACGAGCAAATTATATTAGAGAATTTAGATCTCAAAAGGTTGATGAAGTTGGCCAAATACCACAAAAAACTGAAAGAAATGAAACAGGTCTAATTAAACTAACATTCAAACTAACCAATCTCCCAGAACATATATACATTGGATACGAAAGAGTCCAGGTCCGCCCACACATTCCTCCTCCAATGCGCTGCATCACCTGCCCGCGAATGGGACATACCGCAAAGTTTTGCAAAAATTCAGCAATCTGCTCAAACTGTGGCCTTGCAGCTCATGAAAACACAGATCAAGGTATAATATGCTCAAACAAACCCAACTGCATCAACTGCACGGAGAAAAAACTACCACTCACTGATCACCACGCCCGCGACAGAAACTGCCCAGTTTTCTTGTCACACAAGGAAGTTCAAGCGATTAAGACCTTAAATAAAGTAGACAACAGGACAGCCTGGTCCATCTACAAAAACCGCCACCACGATGGCTCCCTGTACTCCTCCGCAGCCAAAGCTTCCTCCTCTCAATCTAACCAAATGCAACCATCAAAAACTACAATAACACCTATGCAGCGCAAAATGAATCTGATGAGTTTACCCTCCCGAACGCGTCTAATTTTGACTCAGATGAACCCATGTCATCTGGTTCCGAAATACAAGACGCCAATCAGAATCACACAACAAAAAGAAAAGCCAAAATCCTACCTCTAAACATCTCTAATAAAACGAAAAGACTGCTGAAAAACGATCAAAACTCTGTCATGACTAGAGCAAAACTTAAAGCCATTTCCTCTTCTGATACAAATCCAACACCAACCCAAATCTAAAAATGACTCTAAAGATCCTCCAATGGAATATAAATGGTTACCTTAACAACTACAACGAACTGCTAATTCTACTAAAACACCTTAATCCCAAAATCGTTTCCCTCCAGGAGACCCACATCACTTATTACCAAAACTTACCTATCCCAGTTAACTTTGAATTTCACTATACATCCTCGCACAGTCCAGATGGCGGTGCAGCAATTTTGATACACAAATCAATAGAACACACCATAATTCCACTTCAAAACTCATTCGACACCATTGCACTGGAAATTAAGTCTTTCAAAAAACTCAATATCGTTTCTTCCTACATCCCACCGAACAGAAAATTTACCGAAGCAGACCTGGAATCAATAGTCCCTATAGGAAACTCTCCAACATTATTTACAGGAGACTTCAATAGCTGGAATAGTTACTGGGGTTCTCCCACAACTAACCGTAGGGGACGAATACTAGGCAAATCCATCCTGAACAAGGGATTCATCATTCTAAACAACGGCCAACCAACTCACTTCTCGACCCATAGATCACTCACACACATCGACTTAGCATTTTGTTCACCCGACCTCAGAATTTATTGTGACTTCAAGATCAGCGACTCTCTCCAAGGGAGCGACCACTTCCCAATTACTATCGACATGTTTCCAAGCAGCAGAAGAAAGAAATACATCTTCAATCAACGCTTTGTGACAAAAAACGCAGATTGGAATAAATTTGAAACACTCACAAACATCCTTAGTAATTCCATCCCAACGTCAACAAATATAAACCAAGAAGCAAGTAATATAAACAAAATTATTCTTCAAAGTGCATACCAAAGTATTCCGCATACAAAACCTCCAAGATCGCACCACAATGTCCCCTGGTGGAATAAAAAACTGGAAAATTTAAAAAGGGAAAAAATCAAGGCCTGGAGGACCTTCAATAGAGATATGTCGACAAATAATCTAATTAACTACAAAAAACTGAACGCCCAATACAGAAGAGAAATAAGATAGAGAAAAGCAGACAGCCTCTTTGAGCTCACATCCAAAATCACGCCACAATCCAAGCCGGAAACAATTTGGAACAAAATAAGAAAGCTCTGCGGACTCCACAAAGCCACAAATATCCATGCTATTAAAGACAACCATAGTAACAATCTCCTTACTTGCCCGGAACAAATTGCCGACACATTTGCAAAATTTTGGTCTCTTCGCTCAGAGGACACACAATTTTCCACAAGCTTCATCGAAGAAAAACAAAAATTACTCACACTCAACCAAGGAAACACCACACACAGAACAGCACTATTTAAGGAACAAGATATAAAATTTCTTGAATTCTCTACCGCCCTAAACAGCCTAAAAGGTCAAACACCAGGACAGGACAAAATAAATTATCCAATGATCCAACACGTCGCAAACCCGGTCAAATGAGAATCATAAATTTCTTCAATAGCATCCTAAAGTCACACATTCCTCAAACCTACAAATCTAGCATAATTATACCAATACACAAACCAGGTACGGACAAAACTTTAACAGAATCCTACAGACCTATTTCCCTCAATCAATGCTTGTCAAAAACACTAGATAAAATAATATCGAAACGGCTATGGTGGTTTGCAACATCCAACAAACTACTAAATAGCCGACAACTCGGATTTAAAAAAGGGAAATCTGCTATGGACTGTCTGCTTTACGCAGACGCTCTTATCAACAGAGCCCTCAACGAAAAGAGACATCTCTCAATCATATCCCTAGACTTTGCCAAAGCCTTTGAAAAAATAGGGCTACACACAATCATTAACCAACTCTCGGCATGGGGATGTGGTCCAATTATATCCACCTACGTGTCACATTTTATGTCTAATAGGAAAATCCGAGTTAGAGCCAACAATACCACGTCAACGGTACAACCATTACACAACGGCATACCGCAAGGATCCCCACTCTCGGTTATACTTTTTCTTTTCGCATTCAACAGCCTCTCCGATATTATAGACCATCACAAAAACCTTTCCCGCACAGCATACGCCGTTGACTTTAACATATTTATCAATTTAAAACGAGACAAAAATGTGTCGATCAACTTGAACAATCTATTTAACGAAATTAACGCTTGGTGCCGAAAATCAGGAGCAATGCTCTCTGTTTCAAAATGCAAGCACATTCATATATGCAGGAAGAAAGCCTGCTCATGCCAGGCATCAACACAAGATACGACCATCAAAACGGTTACGGAACTGTCGTTACTAGGACTACATTTTGACGGAAAATACAATAGCCACCCACATACCTTAATCGAAATCGTAAAAAGCCTATGCATTTCCAAGATAGATTACGCCCTTACGGCACGTCAAAGAAATCTACTCTAAAACCAATCAGAACCCTACTAAATTCCGCACTACGGAACAAATAACCTCTACGCCAACAAATAACCTCTACCTTGAAGCAAACATCCAATCAATAGAAAATAGAACCGAATACCTAAAAGCAAAATCAATCCACACTATCCTTCAGGCCAAAGACACCCCGCTCAACGAAATCATACAACGGATCTCCAAAAATAAAAACAAAGAAGAACGGTATAGTCGCGTACCTCGACTTTCAGATACCCGTTACTCAGCTAAATAGAGATATGCAAGCAGCAAAGCGAGGTTAAAATGCGTCACCTACCGGCGGTATACAGAATTAAGCGTTATGGGCGTTAGAGTGGGCGTGGCAAACTTTTTTTTGGGTCAATCGATAGGTATTGATGAGAAGAATACATTTCAGTTAAAATTTATATTCAAGCATCAAAACTGTAGGAGCCACAGTTTTGGGCGGTTTGTGGGCGTTAGAGTGGGCGTAGCACTCTACTGAAACAAACTTGCGCTGCGCAGGAATCTCAGGAATCTGCGTGCCTAATCCCAGTATTGTAACTCTCATAGTTTCCGAGATCTCAGCGTTCATACGGACAGACGGACAGACGGACATGGCTAGATCGACTCGGCTAGTGATCCTGATCAAGAATATATATACTTTATGGGGTCGGAAACGCTTCCTTCTGCCTGTTACATACTTTCCGACGAATCTAGTATACCCTTTTACTCTACGAGTAACGGGTATAAATACAGAAACTCTACCATCAACCAATGCATTAATAGCTGCCAACACCTCGATATCCCAACCCAAGCTCCTCAGAAGCCCAAATCAATAAAACCTTCCTGGACAAAAGCTTAGTCGACATACAATTAAGCTGTGCCAAAAAATCGACTACCAACAAACATGTTTACCTAAAAAAGTTCTTGGACATCAAAGACAACCTTTTAAAGAAGAAATTTTCCTTCCTATATACCGATGGCTCCAAAAACAAAGAAATAATAGGTCTAGCAGTTACCACAGAAGAAGAAATTGTCAAGCAAGCTGTCCTACCAACTTACTCCTCAGTATACACAGCAGAGGCAATCGCGTTTCTGGAAGCTGTTAGAATAGCCGAGAAGAAAAGAGGTAAAACCTGCATTTGCTCCGATTCACTGTCAACCTTGGAAGCTGTCCTTAATTGTAACAACATGTCATTTTACACTACATCGATCCGGGACTTAATCATAAAACTCGCCACAAAAATCATGTTGCTATGGGTCCCTAGTCACATTGGGATCAAAGGAAATGAATGCGCCGACACAGCAGCGAAAGATGCAACAAGATCACCCCTTATTTCCATCCCAAATCTAAACCGCACGGACATTAACAAACTGTTAAAAACGAATATACTTAAAAATAATACAAACCTACAACAGAAAGCATCTCCTTGGTACCAAGCCATTAACCCAGAGATGATAAGCATCAACGAATACGCCAAAAACGCACAACTTTGCAGCTTGCCAAGGAAAGAAATTACTAAAATCATCAGGCTTCGACTAGGACACACAAAACTGACACACGAATACCGATTCTCCCAGCCAATAAACAGCCAATGCCGATTCTGCACCACAGACGCCATATCGATCTCACATATCCTTAACGACTGCACCACATTTCAAACACATAGACCTAGTAACTCCAATATAAAATTATCTGATCTCTTAATTAACCCTTCATATGAAACTCTTCAGCAAATCCTCAACTTTCTCAAATAAGCTAACCTACTTCAACTCATTTAAATTGTTAATCTCCTTCTCTTCCCATTCATATGTAAATTTCTAGTTGTTCAGTAAACATGTAATTACAATTTAGTCCGGCCGAAAGTCTCAGCAACTATGGCCGATTCCTCCCTGTACCTTAAGTTTTAAACTTTTGGCAACAGAGTACAATAAATAAAAATAAATAAATTGGTGCAATAGGCGACACCAAACTGCCCCAAAATTCCATTTGTTTTTTTTTTCAATTTTTTCGTTTGCTATTTATCTGTTATAAATTATGCCAAAGTGGTTTTAAAATGGGCTGTTCAGAATCTTAAGGCACTTTTTCGTCATTTTATCCATAATTTCTTATATTATTAAGTTGTCTTGCGAATTTCCTTTTATTCGCTAAATCGATTTCTTGCAGGACAATAGAAAGTTGTGTGCAACTGCATTTGATGTGGTTGGCTGGGGGAAAGTTAAGAACGAAGGAATCTTAGCAGGACGGGAGGTATGCCCAGGAGTGGTTGACCTGCGGGTAGGATCTTGGCGCAGAAGGGAGAAGATTTGCACCCGCAGAGGGCGAAACATTCGTGAGAAAATCTTTGATAAAAAACTGTGATTGACTAGGTAAGATCAAAGATAATATAAACTACAAGATGAGTAACGGCCATACAACTGAATGTACCGCAAAATTTTTGGTGTGGATTTTCGATGTGGATTTTCGATCTTGCTAGTGTGCGTTGTGTGTAAAGCTCTTTGGTTGTGTTGGTGTATCATTTCGTGTGGTCTGCTGCAATAAGGGCTCAATATCGTATTTGACTAAAGCGAGGTGTCAAACGCCTGTAGGCCAGGGATCGAGTCGCTCAACCGCGGGAAGTGCAGGTCGGAGTTCAACTCCGACTGTCTCGGTCTTTTTTTAAACAATTAAGTAAATTGAACATGGTGTTTATGGTGTTTTACACAATCTCCTTGGTATTTAGCCCATGTTTTACTTGATTTTTTAAAAAATGGCCGATTGAAAACATCATAGATGTTTATTTAACACTCAATGTTTTTGTCGATTGTTTGTGTCGAATATCGATAATAGATGCTATAATAAATATCAACGATTTGATTGACCCAAGCACAAAAGTCACATTCTTCATTTGGTTGTCGACGAGTACACATCTTACAGCTCTCCAATTAATTTTTGACTTTTAGCAATGAATACCGGCAATAAATGCTCCCTGGCCCATTGTAAGAAATCAAAGCGGGATTTTCCGGGCATGAAATTGTTCAAGTTTCCTTCTAATGATGCATTTCTTTTCATAGAATGGGCAAAGCAATGCGGCTTCACGGAAGATTTTGTGGCAAACTCCGGTTCGCTCTTTTTATGAGAAGACCACTTTTTACCTGAAAATATCGGTCAAAGGTATTTAAAAAAGGGGGCCATTCCAGTTCTAAGTCTGTCCAGACCAATACAAAAGGTGGAGAATACAGAAGAGGACGCGAACCTGTTTCAATCCCTTCCAATAAAAAGAACTTGATCCGAGTCTCCGGCGGAGTCTTGCCGCCAATGCCATAGACATGTTACAACTTCAAAAGCCTTTCAAAAAATAATTATTAAAAAAAAAAATGTACAATATAAAAAGAAACGACTGGAATTGCTGGAAAAAGAAACGAGTAGAACGGTTTAAACAAAAGCACGCAAGAATTTTGTATCGGAATTAGATTCTATGGCCCTAAGTGAAAATGAGAACATTTTAGTGAAAATGTTTATAAAATGTTTTTAGGTCAGCATCAACCTACATAAAAAAACTTCAACCAGGCGACAATGAATGCTTATATAAAGCATTAAAAGATGCAATCAAACCGATGGATAAAGCTAAAAGGGAGTGTATTTTAGCATGCGACGAAGTATCTATTAAGAAGAACTTAACGTATAATTCATCTAGCGACATAATTGACGGCTTGTGGCATTTACTGGAACGCTCAAATATCTTGGGAACACACATATGCGTTTTTATTTTAAGAGGTCTTTTTTTCGAATTGGAAATTCGTTTTAATTTATTTTGTCCCAGCTACAAATATTAAAGGCGATGAGCTTAAATCTCTTATTTTTAAAAACATTTTCGTTTCTGAAGAAATTGGTTTTTCCTTAAGAGGTCTAGTTTTTGATCAAGGAGGGAATAATAGAAAATGCTGTTCTCTTCTTGGAGTTACTAAAGAAATCCCCTTCTTTACTTTGAAGGATAACAAATATTTCGTGTTTTTAGATATACCAATAAGAAATAGTCTTTTAAAATCTAAGCTATTAACCGCCGATGGCATAGTCGATTTTGATGTTAATTGAGAGCTTTATGACTTGGAAAAGGGATCTGTCACAAGAATGACTAAGCTAACTAGATCTCACGTTTACCCAACCCGGTTTGAGCAGATGAGAGTTTGCTTAGCCACCCAAACTTTTAGTCATACAGTTGCTGCTGCTTTAAGATCATGCTATCAAAGAAGTTCTTTAGAAAAAGCCAAATCAACTGCAACCTTTGCTAAGAAAATAAATTACTATTTTGACTGTCTTAATAGCGACGTATTGTATGATAAAAATCCTTTTATGTGTGCTCTACAAATTGATTATAGGGTTTGGAAAAATTTGAAGGAAATGCAAATATATTGTATAGACGGTTTGCTGCAAACAACTGAAGCAATTTTAGGAATAGTTCACGATCTTTTTAATGATAATCGGGAACATTCCTTCGTTTTTACAAGCCGTTTTAATCAAGGTCCTTTGGAAAATTTGTTTGCTTGCGTTCGGGCTTAATGAATATGAGAAGGAAAATCAAGCTTATTTTGATAGCTCCGCAGATGATTTTGTTGCACCAATATACCCATTGAATTGACATGAAGTCGATATATTCTAGGTTATATTGCTAAGGAATCAAACAACTGCAAAAGATGTGAAGCGATTATTTTAAAACAGGGAGAAATGTTAAATTCGCCTTCCGAAATTGTTATTGCAGAGAAAAATTTCTCTAACGATTCGGAGTTTGGAAAGTTAATTTCTCCTTCAGATATATTCTTTAATGTATGTAAAATACATATCAAGGTTTTTGTAAACATTTATAATATCAATAAAAATCAAGAACACATTAAAGAGTTTATGAAGAGTAAATGTGTAACGTGTACTGGAGAAATCGATTTTTCATCGTGGTTTGATGAAAATGATGAGTGCTATTCACATAATATGCTTATGTTAGATAAATTGATTAGAGTTTTGCTGTACAAACATTGTAAGTAGCTAGACTCCCCAGCCAAATGTAAAACTAGCAATAAGCTAAATATACTTCGTCATAAATAAATAAATACTAGGGGATCTTTGAACAGTAAAGCTTTAATCTATTTATAGAACATTTGCATTTAATATGGAAAGCACTCACCATATTAATCCAAATATAATGAAAAATCGTTTTCATGAGTACACATTACGCTTTGATTCAAAGTGAATTGCTTATTGTGTTCATGTTTTTATTGTTATTAGATATTTTTTTAAAACCTTTTATATGTAATTTTAAAAAAAAAATATATATCTATAGAAGTGATTAATTTCTAAAGTCCCAGTTGGTACATCTAAAAAAAATTCGTCTATCAAAACATGATTTAAACAATACAAAACATTAAAAACTAAAAAAAATACAAAAATATGAAATTAAAAAAACTAAAAAAAAACCTGTCAAAAATATAAAAAAAATAGTCAAAAAACTACAGCTTAAAAAAATATTAAAAAAAAACAAAACTATAAAAAAACAAGGAAGAACGCTGTAGTCGAGTACCTCGACTATCAGATACCCGTTACTCAGCTAAAGGGACCAAAGGGAAATGGAGATATGCAAGCAGCAAAGCGATATTTAAATACGCCACCTACCGGCGGTAGACAGATTTAAGCGTTATGGGCGTTAGAGTGGGCGTGGCAAAATTTTTTCGAATCGAAAGGTATTGACGATACCAACACATTTCAGTTAAAATTTTTTATCTCGCATGTGGCCGTTACAGGTTTGGGCGTAAGAGTGGGCGTGGCACTTTGCTAAAACAAACTTGCGCTGCGTAAGAAGCTCAAGAATCTGAACGCCAAATCTCAATAGCCTAGCTCTTATAGTTTCCGAGATCTCAGCGTTCATCCGGACAGACGGACATGGCTAGATCGACTCGGCTAGTGATCCTGATCAAGAATATATATACTTTATGGGGTCGGAAACTCTTCCTTCTGCCTGTTACATACTTTCCGACGAATCTAGTATACCCTTTTACTCTACGAGTAACAGGTATAATTAAGTTGAATCCAGCTTCAAAGTGGACTCGAGCCCAGAACTCAATCCCATTATCCACGGGCCACCAACATACGCAGAGCGCCACAGCCCGTATATGAACCACATGTGCAATGCGTCTTTTAGATCGATTCCTTTTCGTCAACATAATTCAAGAATCGACAATTGAGACAAAAGTTGAATTTTGTACTTTTTCCAGCAACGGCATTCTAAAAACAGATTCCCATACGTGTGAGGGTTGCTTTGCAAAAATTACGCCTGTGTACATTTTCTTACTCCACGTTACGCATCCTGGAATTCTATGGTCTTTGGTAAGATTTAGTTTGTTATTTATTTAATTAAAATTAATAGTTTTGTATTGTTAATATAGTTATTTTCGGTTATAGTAGTTGTTTATCCTTGGTTAAAGTTTCGTGGGTGTGCGCTGTAAAGTTTTCGGCCCCGGCAAATGTAATAAATAAAGTAGAATCACAAAAGGAAATGGAAACTATGCGGAATTATTTTAAGTTGTACAAATTGCACAACAAGTGCTAAAAAAGTCTCAGATCTAAAATCGCGATATTATTAAAAGTAAGGCCAAAATTACAAAAAAAAATATTTGTTTAATTATACACACTGAAATAAAATTGTTTACCAATAAAGAACATTTTAAAGTCAAACTAATACATAAATAACAAGGAAGAACGCTATAGTCGAGTACATCGACTATCAGATACCCGTTAATCAGCTAAACAGACAAAAGGGAAATGGAGGTATGCAAGCAGCAAAACGAGATTAAAACGCGCCACCTACCCGAGGTGTCAATATATGGTTATGTGGGCGGTAGACAGATTTCAGCGTTATGGGCGTTAGAGTGAGCGTGGCAAACTTTTTTTGGGTCTATCGACAGGTATTGACGAGACTAATACATTTCAGTTAAACTGTTTTCCTAGCATGAAAATTGTGGGCGCCACAGGCCTTGGCGGCTTGTGGGCGTGGCACATTCTCGTAACAAACTTGCGGTGCTACGGAATCTAAATCTGAAATGCCAGTTCCCTATCTTTAATAGTTTCTGAGATATCCGCATTCATACTTAAGATTTTTTGAAGTTTGCTGGCGGTTTTTGGGCGTTAAAGTGGGTGTAAGGATATAGTATGTAGTTTGAGAAAAATATGTATTGTTATAGGTATTTTAATTTGAATTGAAAAGAAAATTGATTTGTTATGAGCTGGTCATACTGGCAATGTAAAAAAAAATAGTTGTGAAAGTTGACGCGCTAAGAAAGCACCAAATTGAAACGCATAATAAAGATTGAAAACGACGATTTTTGTGAATTTGACTGAACAGCTTTCAATTTTGTCTTGTAAATTGAAAAGCGTTTTGAATTTTTTAGAGCGATGTAAAAGACGATTTTTGTGTATTTGACTGAACATCTTTCAATTTTGTCTTGTAAATTGAGAAGCGTTTTGAATTT